TGACTCCTGATATAGGTTTATATCTGTTATCATAAAAGGCTTGTGTAGGTTTCATGTAGCCTTATAAGTGCAGCCCTTGAAAATGTGTTACTATCCTCAGAAGGAAAACTTGCTTTAAACGCACAGTCCCACTTCACAACAAGATTACCCTTTTAAAGAGTGAAATAGATTAAAATTAATTAATGTTATTAATTAGGTCATAAACACCTTAATCATCACTAAGTGACTTGGTGCTTGCCAAATAGTGAGCCCACATTCGCCTATACTAGTAAACCGCAGATCTTGCTGGTTACTTATCTTCCTTTGTCTTCTTGATCAGTCAGCATTAAACCTGGCAGAGGTTATAACTGTTCATTAATGCCTTTTTAACCCTACAGTTCAAAAAGGGAATCTATAAGAATTTTGACTCACTGTGGTAGGTTTGATACATTTCATCAATAAAAACATTTTATTCCTTGATCCTTCAGAATCAGAATCAGAATCAAGCTTTATTGGCCAGGTATGCTTACGCATACAAGGAATTTGGTTTTGGTTACAGGAGCTCACAGTGCACAGTATCAAACAAACTTTTACATGTAGTGAATAAAATAAAATAAATATAAAATAAAACACGCATTCACTCAAACACACACACACAGTCATACCTGTAAACCTGTGCAAAGTATGGGTCTAAAGATATTCCATGAATTAATAAAAATGCATGTGACATTTTTGTGTAACAACTTCTTGTAAAAGGGTCAGTTCATTTACTACAGGGTCTTGTCCAACACTGATTTTAACTCAGGAAATCTCAGATAGATTTCAAAACATAGATATTCAGATATTCTAAATCAGCTAACAAACTGCTAACACTAGCCTGCTAGCTAGCAAATGTTGAGTGTTGCTTCTACTGTATTGGACATATTATTGAGAAACTGATTAATGGATTGAGAGAATAAATACATAAATACATAAATAAATAAATAAATAAATGCAGTTAGGAAAATTTCTAATGCATTTGACCAGTGTTGAATCTTTCTGTACTGTATATGTACATGGGAGATAATCATCTAATCATGACTGAAACATAAAAATTAATAAATTTATTTATTATCAAATTCTTAAATTATTTATGTTATTAAGTTGAAGGTAAAAATAAAAACAGGACACCTTTTCTTTGAAGAAAACCATTGACTCCAAAATGGGTCATTTTGGCCCGCTTTGTATAGTTTTTTTTGGGTCATCCACTCATTAAAGTGTTTATGACACACATTAACCCCTTACCAAGCCATGGGCCCACTTTTTTTATTACTCACTTCTATAACCTAAAAAAGCTCCCTTCTTTAGTTTGCATTGAAGACGCTGTAGTTAATTAATAATATGCCTTAGTATTAATAAGCCTGGAATGTTGAGGGGTTAATAAGTTGTTTATTAATCATTTTTAAACCATTCATAGCTCATTTGAGTAGTCTTATTGTACCAGTTGCATTGTAAAATACTGCATGTCTTACTTACCATTAGCTTGGTATCAACAGGTTGGTAAGATTCTCAAACGCAGATGAACTTTACTGCTTAGGAAACATTACTAAGCCGCCTTTCTCTTGCTGTCTTCTCCGCCTCCTCTTTTACATTGTGGGCACCGCAGTCTGGACTCCATTAGATCAATTCCTTCTGTTTCTTTCACTTGCGACCACAAAACTCACTCGCCAAGATCGGCCAGGACGACAGCGGCCAGCTAAGAACCGCAGCTTTCTGCCTGAACTGCACAGTCAGAGGTTATTGGGCCCTGGCTGTTAGGAGAGATCGTACTGAGGAGTAGAGATTTATCCCTCTGCAAAAATGGCTGATTGAATTCAGAGTTATGGCTTCTTGCAAAAGCCTATTATTAGCATTAGATTGACACTCTGCTGTGGAAGGGAAGGAAACAGAGTGCTCAGAGCGTGTAGATGAAGCTGGATCTCAACCTCTCCAAAGGCAATTAGGACCAAACAGCCCTCATCATTGCCACGCTTCATCATTTAGAGCCATATGTTTGTTTCCATTACGCTGGCTGGATTTTAGCATCTTAATTAACTTAATAAGCAACAAGGCAATATAACATTAGGGGGGATGCTGGCATAGTAGAATGACTCAGCACTGTTTATTAAAGGACAGACACACTGTGTTCTCAGAAGAGGCGCTTCTCTGCCCAGCAGAAGTTTGGGGACACCTTCCCTTTTCTTAAAGTCTTCCAGGTAATGTTTGACTTTCACCATTTTTGTTTTGTTTTTTTCAGTTAAATAAGAAAGAAATACCCGCAAATGTGTTGTTGAGATATGAGCTGTTTGCTAGTCTTTATCTTCAACACCGCTAAATAATGATTTGACAGATTTCTTTTCCAAACTATTGTTAATTGCACATATTGCAACTCCTGATAGGTTTGAGTGCTGACATCCCCACAAGAGGATAAAATATGATATAAAACTAGTACAGATGTGACAGCCTCTTTAGTCTTTACTCTACGTCTGCTTCATTAAATTTTTGCATGACGTGGAAACGAGCAGAGATTCGACTGCAAATGATGAAATGGCTTCAGTGTGTGAAATCAAGTGCCAGCCTGCCAGCACCTCATTTACATATCATTTACATTAACTGTGTTCTAATTCATGCAGGAGTTTTAGTAAGGAGCCAATAAAATGGCAGCTCATGAGCCAATGGCTGTTCTTGTAGTTGAAGCTTGAGGTCGATGACTGAGTGCACTGCTCCCCCTACTGACCAAACTTTATAGTGTTCAATTTATGATGACTGGAAAGAAATATGAAATAAATAAAACATCTTAGTTCTTTTTAAGATGGTAGAATGTGATTACGTGGTATGTTGCAGTGTATGAGTTGTGTTTTGTATTGTTTATTTTTTGGGCTGTGTCAGAACTGTAAACCAAAAGCACAGTGTAATGTCTTCAAATGAAACATGGAATAGTTGCAGCATTTGTTTATACCAATGTGTATGTAAAATAAATATGTCCACTTTTGTATTAGTTGTGCACAAACTATTAGTATAATTGTTATTTTCTATTTCTATTCATATTATTGGTATTATAGATATACAGTTAATTGCTTTGGTTAGTTAACCACACATTTTTATTTTAAAGCTATTAAACTATTATGCTATTAAGATCGTACAGATATGCCAAACATGAAACTGATGAATAAGAAAACTGTGATTTTTCTTTCTGTGCTCATTTTATGATCAGATTTGAATGTATGCATCTTTGATGAATAAGAGTCAATATCACTAACATTTATATGATCTTGCTTTCCTCAAAATAAACGACTTTAATATGTTAAACTATTGCAAATTGGATTGGCAAAGTCTTTAATATGTTTAATATGTTTTGCCAAACAACCTGCATGTACCTCTCTAGATTAACAAAAAGGCCAAAATCTTTTATAGGCCTTAAACACTTCAGACGTCTGGTTCCTATCACCACCAATGTAAACAATTCTGATTCACTTTCTCTAGTATGATGCATTTTACATCAAACCACTCTGAATGACTTTGTTTACATCTTCACCATTTAATTACACAGAAATTTTGAAATACTGGTGGCATTCCCCCTTAAGTGAAAGTATGAGTATTGAGTCAAAATCTTAGAGCAAAAATATACCTGAAAGTCAAAAATTTGTCACATTAAAAAAAAAAAAATCTATGTTTAAGCAAACTAAATAAAATCATATATAAACAAACTATATAATTTTTTTCTAACATAAAATTAAAATCAGTTTTCTTTCTTTGGTGTAATGCTGTGAATGAGTATAGAAGTGTAGCACCTTTGCACAAAGTTATATTGGAATAATTTTGAGATGTTTAATTTTACATTGATATGAATTTGGTTGGTTAATAAAATAAAGAAATAAAATTATTATTATTATTATTATTATTATTATTATTATTAATTTATAATTTGACATCTGTAACAAGTTCTCTAAAGGTCTAAATGAAAATATAAGCAGTAAAAATGTACAATTACTTAAGTATTATTCACCCCTGTATCTACTCTCCCATTATCACCTTTATATTTTGTACCACCAAATTGAAGTAAGGCAGTAAATTTAAAACCCACACACTTTACGATTAATGGACAAAATTTATCCCAGTATTAGTTTTCAACTTGTATCAGTCTTATTTACACATAAAACACATGAACACTACCACACCCAGTCATCAACCAGCACAATTCATTCCCTTCAACATCAATCCATTCAACAGTTAGTAAAAGCCAATCAATGCATTAAAAATGCATTTAGAGCATGGAATTAGTACCGGTCACTGAGGATGCCTGTCTGATGTGAGTTGGTAGGCTGTTGCAAGGCCTTGGCACAGCAGCAGAAAAGGCCTGATCTCCTAATAGTTTAAGCTGAGGCTGAATGACAATCAGTAGTAACTGAGAAGCTGACCTTAAAGATCTTGAAGGATCATATAAACAGAGCATGTCCATAATATATAGGTGCTTTAAAAACAAACAAAGCCATATTATATTGGATTCTGTAGTAAACTGGGAGCCAGTGAAGAGATGCTAACACTGGAGTAACGTGATCTTGTTTCTTTGAACCAGTTAATATTCAGGCAGCAGCATTTTGGATTACATTCCACCACCGTTTCGCTCATTTTCCATCTTTGCTATACTGGATTAGCGCAACATTTTGGAGCTAGTTTTATATAAAATACAAGATTTACTGATCGCTATCCTTTACTGACATCATCAGTTCAACAGCTACTTTCCTTCCTCTACTGCTCAATGTTTTCCTTGATCTGAAGTCAGAATCAGGCTTATGTAAGTCAATTTATCGCCGTTAAGTCCGCAGTGGTTTTGTGAGAGGCTCCAGTTTTGATGATTGATATACATTAAGTATTAAACCAAGACCACCTCACAGAGGGCTGTATATCTTTTTTTAATAAATACATGTGTTTTAAGCTGGTGCTTAGAACTGGTACTCACTTTGTGTCAGCGATATCTTTGGATAAAAACCTCCCGTAGTCTCTTGAAAGATGAAAATAAATTATTTTAATAAAAATAACCATCAGAACAAGGCATTGCTTAGACTACATTCTGTATATCACTGTAAAAACAACAACCACAACGGGCATCCATTGAACTAGAGCTTCACAGACAAGCGTCCTATGGATATGTTTAAAGTGCAAGCATTAGTTACATGCATGCATTCCTGAGTCATAAAAAAGTGTTATTGATTCATGTGTGAATGTGTAAAAAAAACAGGGGTGGAGAGAGTGTTGAACAGGCTATTGCTGCCATCTACTGTAAACATCAGGTACTACTATACATGTTCACATTTACGGTAAACTAGTGATGCTAATTCACTTTCTACAACCAAAAACAATAAGTTAAACAGGTTTAAATAAACAGAGCTTGAACAAAAGTGATTAACCAACAGTGTTTAAATGGAACACAAAACATAAATAATTTGCATATCAATACATTACGACAGGTGTACATCTTTCTCGTATATACTGGCTGCTTGAATGTCTTTCTGACATGTTGAATTGCTGCACTGCATTTCTCCACAGCTTGTATATGGCTAAAACAAGGACTGATGTATGCAGATGTACATACATGTTAAAATTAATTTTCGTACTTTGACACTTGACTATGAGTGATAAACCATGTAGTTTTGGTCACTTATACGGTATCAGCATCTTCACAAATATTAGGGGCTTTTAAGTGTTTGGATATTTTCTGTGAAGCGACGATACAAACCAAAAAAACACTACACTTTACACTGTACACTTACAGGCTTCAAATAAACCTATAGTTTCTTCAGAGTCTGAGCCAGGCGGGTGGGTAAGCCAGTGTATGGTCTTGTGTGGCAAGTTCACCAAAAGCAATGCTATTCAAATATCATAGAAGTGGCAGCATGAGTATCACTTCAATCTTCTTTTTAATTTTTCTCTTATCCTGATAAGTTAAATAACACAATGCTTTTGCGAGGCTGACCCCTATTAAGCTAATGTTATGCCATCACACCTACAAGATATATTAGCATGCATTTGCTTAGGGGACAAGGACGTGTGTCTGATTGAGGGTCTTCTGCTCTCTTCCTTTCTGCAGGATAATGGCTCCATGGTTTTGCGCAGCAGTTAGTTGTTAGTCTCAAAGAACATGAAGTCCTGTAAAGAGACATTAGACAGCACAAATTAAAAGTAGTATTATGTAAAGTGGTTACACGGATGAAGTACTTGTAATAAGATCAATTCACCTATAAAATCAGAACATATACGTTTTTCATATGACTATTTTTAACGATTACATTTCTGATTAGGGAACATCAATGAATCAGTCTAAATGTAGAGTCCTTGGGCATTATATATATTTAATTCCACTGTGGGAGAACAACTCAGCACTATTGGTCTGTAAGAATGTGTAGCTGTCAAGAAGCCATTATTGAGAAAAGGATATATATAACAGAAAAAAGGAAAAAAAATGCTCTGAAACAGAGAAATTGGACATCTGAGATGTGGAACAAGGTTTGATGGACTGATGAGTACAGATTTGTAATTGTGATCACTTGAACTGTGTGGAGCAGAAAATGCAAGCAATATCTAAGACTGAACTTTGGAGGTTGATAAAATAAGTAAAAGCTACTCTTGTGGAAAGAAACAGAAGCTGTATTAAAAACAAAGGGTGAAAACACTAAATAGTAAAAAATGATATTATATTTGGCCTCTATAATTATTTGTCAAATACGTTTTCTGACTTTTTTTTCTTAATGCTAAAATATGAAAAACTTGCATTTAATGGCTGTCAGAATTGACACAAAGTGGATGGTGTAGACCAGGGGCTCTCAATCCCTGTCCTGGAGATCCACCACCCTGGAGAGTTCAGATCCAACACACCTGACTCTAATGTCCAGATACCCCTAAAGGCCTTCATTACTTGGATCAGGTGTGTCAGGGTTGGAGCTGAATTCAGCAGGGCAGTGGATCTCCAGGATTGGGCACCCCTGGTGTTTACCTTTCGAATCTGGTTTCATGTTTCCAAATAAAAGACAGAATTCACTGACTTCACTGTTCTGTTTTTTAACGTGTTCCTTGATTTGAACTCAATTTGAGGATTACTTAAATCATTTACGCACAGTTAAGTCTCTATTGCAGTGGCCTCCCTGGTCCTGGAGAGCTACCAGTTTAGCACATCTGTATCCAGTAAGCTGCCCCACCCATTACTTAACTCTAATACATCTGATCCAGCCAATCAGGGTCTTGGGAAGAGGTTGATTACCTGAAGCAGGTGTGGCAGATTGTGATAGGAATTGGGCTCTGCAGGAAGGTAGCTCTCCAGGACCAGGGTGTAGTTGTAATTAATTTACAGATTCATATTTTATGAGTTTTACAGACTTGGTTCAGATGAGCAGGTCATTTTGGTGTTGTTTAAATTGGGTGTGTTAGAGAAATCATCACTTACAATGAGGAAACAGAGTCCAATCATCACCGCTTTCATTCTGACGTCAAGATCCAAAGGAAACTGAATTCCAAAGTTATCCGCATCCGTGAAGGCCTCTCGCAGAAGCCCTGTCCACTGCTTACTGATCTTTCCGATGTTGACTTCATCCATTGTCAAAATCTATCAGAAAACAGGATAACTGGTAACACTTCCTATGAATCCTGTATTCATAATGCTTTGCAAATGCATTTATAAGGCATCATATAGCATTTATATAACCTTATAATGACTGGGATAAGCTTGTATAATTGTTTATGTGCATTATAGTTACAGTTCATAAAACACTTCATAAAACAAGAATATCTTTGCTGTCAAAAAAAGTATCAAGCTTTTTTATCACTATTTCTGTCGCTGGGGCACAACCGTTGTCCTTTACATTGTGTGAAAATTTTGTTTTTGTGAAAGTCATAATATCTGTTTATAAGATTATTGTAAACACACTATAACGACAGATCCAGGCATACATATACATCCATGCAAACATTTGTTGGGTATAATTACTTCCGCCCACGACAGCTATAGGAGACATGGGAGGAGATACCTGAGAAGGAGCAGACACAGCTTCAAATTCTTATAAAAACTAATTTATATGTAGAGTTTGTTTATTTTTAGCTAACTGGAAACTGTAATGCTAGGCTAGCTGGCTTTATGTTAGCCTGTAGATAACAACAGTAAATGATCGCTGCCTTGTTTAGGAATATAACTAACTTAAGCAATGCCTTTAAGCCAGCTTTCCTGATTCAAGCCTTAAACAATTCCTGCACTGGCAGACAGATCAGACCAATACAGTACCCTACACAAATACTGGCACCCCTGCAAAACATGAACAAAATAGGCTGTGAAAAACATTTGTTACTGGATGTCCTTTTGATCTTTTACTCAAAGTATTAACAAAAATCTAATGTTTGTTTGAAGAACAATGCTTGAAAGAAAAAGATGTAATCTTATGAAATAAATATTTTTCTCAAATCTATGTGTGTCACAATTATGGAGGCTACATAAACACAAGTTATTTGGAACGGCTGCCAGAAGAAAGCCACCCAAATAGTACCTGCTCTGTGAGGGTCCATGGGGGTCCTGACCACTGAAGGACAGGGTAAAAGGTGGCTAACAAAGTATGCAGAGAAACAGATGGACTACAGTCTGTAACTGTAGAACTTGTATGCAGTTGTGACTGAAGTGTCTTTTTTTCTGAATTTATACAAACACTTTCATTTTATAGTAAATTTGTTTTGGCTAGTTTATGTTTATTAACAGAGACCTACAGATGCAGTTTAGTAAAGGAAACTCATTTGTGAACCTGAGTTTAATGCAAGTTTTTATTAAACTTAAACTTATAAATAAGTTGCAAATAAATCTTAAACTGAAACTTTGCTTGTTTGCAAAAAGTTATTTCATGGACACCTAATGGAAATTGTTTGCCGTCAGTGTTTTGTGCTTATGATAATTCTGATAGACATCAGTGAGTAATTAATAATTATATTTAATTTTAATAATTAATTTTCACCTAAAATGAGTTAATGAAGCAGAGTCTTGTTACAAAAATGATAATAGGTCATCAGAGCCATAATTAATCTTTTAGTACTTTTACTTTTGATACATTTGAAGGCAAATACTTTTGTACTTTTACTCAAGTGGAGGTCTAAAGGGAGGAACTTCTACTTTTACTGGAGTAATTCTACCTTGGGTAACTCAACTTTAACTCAAGTACATGATTTGTGCACTTCGTCCACCACTGGAGATTTCACACAGACCACACGAGTAGAGCAGCAGAGCGTCCCAGACGTGGCACTAAAGCGGTGAGGCATTAGGAGAATAAGTAAGGAGCCTACTTCGTCCATGTGCCACACACATCACACAACAAAATATGCTAAAATAAGCTATAAAAAAAAACAAAAATGAAACAGAAGCCCAAATATTTTTTTTGAAAAAATGACCATTATCATTTCATGACTGTTATCATATGAAATACTAGGTAAACATTGCATTCTGCACACAGATTTCCCATTGGGTCTGCCAACCTGGAAACACTTGCCCTGTCAGAAAGCTGCTGAGGGTAAACACATGTATCGTGCTCTTTTACAAAATTATATTTTTATTAGTAAAGTGACTGATTTGATTGTTTATCCATTTGATAAAAGGATGTTTGCAGAAACGCTGCACTGCTGTGTGTATAAATGGCCAGTTCATCCAAACAGTAGCAGTCAAGCTGCCGTGTCACTCATTTTATGCAGAGATAGTGTGTTTGAAACAGACATACAGCCTGTATATTGTTTCTTGTTAACATAAAAATGATATAACTGTGTGAAGTATCACTGTAACTCTGAGCTTTTGTGAGTTTTTGGTTTTAATAACTAATAGAACTAATATAAAGGTGAAAATATTTGTACGTTTGTGAGTGAAGCCATTCCATATGTGGAAGGCTGCTGCATCACTATATCAGTTTAATATGCATGACAATAGGTGGAACAAAATTGCTGCTTTGAGCTACAGGATGTTGTAAAGCCATACAACACATCAGGGCTGATTCAGTGCAGCGGCAAACGTTACACACTAAAACAACACCTAAAATAATGTATAATATATAATAAATAAAAATAAACAGTGAATAAACACATGGTTGCTGCACTCTCCACATATTATTTTTCAGATGAGATAAATGACCCCTGGTTTTGAGATGCAGTTTGCAAAGGAAAAAAAATACAACCAGACAGAAAAGACTATTAATTAACCCAACCCAATATGCAGCTAATATGGCTAGTATGGCTGTTCCAGCACTGAATTGAGACATTTTCACCTAACCTCTATTCCTTGGATGTGGAATCCCATGATTTGAAACACATCTGAGGTCTCAACAAAATATGGAACACGCTCCGCTCATCCATTGAGGCTTGGAGCGCTCTCCATTTCAATTAGACACAGTGCCAGCATGATGGTGGGATATTTGGGCAAAGCTACAGTACCTCAAAGTCCACGTCTGGAAGGCAGCTCCAGCCACAGAAGGGCCCCTGCAGCTTGAGGACAGGCTCCCTGTGCTCGTTCTGGATGGTAAACTTGGGTAGAAAGGGATGCCACTCTTGGAGCACATAGCCCACAATGTTCCCTGGAGGAGACTGGACCTCCAGCTGGGATTCATGGATCGAGCCAATGGCAGCAAGAAAGAGAAAGCGAGAGAAAAAAATGACTGACGTTTTTAAACCAACTCAAAGGCTCTTGGAAACTTGGATTCTTCTATTTCCATGTAAAAAAGTGCATCACTTGCCAAAACATCACAACAAGTTAAGAGTGCTCATTTGCTTTTTAAGGAATATCGAAGCCAATGCATGTTTATATTCTGGTGAGGGATAAACATTACGGGTGATAAAATGAGGCCTTGGCCCAAAACGGAAGACGCACTTCTGTCCTCTCTATGAATTTATTCCATTATTGAGCTAAGCATTAGGCCTCCTCTTGTGCTCGCAGTTGTTTTTGAACAATATTGCAGATGCCAATAAGCAGAATGACTTCTGTCTCACTGTCTAACTCAGAGAAGATCTAAACATCTTTGTGGAGCTAAAGATGGCTGGGAGTCAGCGTAACGAGAGCTCAGAATTGTGGACTTATAGCTCTGTTCCATGGAAAAGGAGCCTCCACTTACCTCCTGCAGGCAGCAGGGGAAGAAGCAGGACATGCACTTCAGTGGACGGTTGACCGTTATCACTTCCTGTCCAAAGTTGTCGAGGATGCGGATTGTGAAAGAGCGTAGGGGGCCGCAGCACTGGCGCGTTAGACAGTCATTCTCCTCCACCGCGTAGTACACATTCTGGCCCATTACGTTTCGGATCTCATACTTATTATTGCTTTCAAAGCCGGCCAGAGCTGCAAAGGTAGAACAGAGGTAGAATAAACCCTATTCAAACAAACCTGCAAAAATTACTGTAGAGTGAGAGTCATTGCAGAGTGGCAGCAAGTGGGCTTGGTTATGAACTTGGCAGTTATGAGCTCAATCCTAGATGATGAATGTTCTTCTGCTGGGTAATGGAAAAGAAGCAATGAGGGGTTGAGTGCTATACTCAAAAAGACAAGATGTCAGGATCAACATGATCTCTGCCAAGCCAACTGAAGAGTCATTCCAACTCAATCTTTCAATCTGGGCTGAATCAAAGAATCTACAAAACTAGAAACTTAGAGAACGAAGATATCCTATAAGGCAGGGATTCACAGTCTTTTTTGCTAGATAAACCCTTTCAACCTAATTGATTTGCCTTAAGTGCCTTTTGAGATTAGACTAACAAGATGAAGTAGGTATTTTGTTTTATTACTTGTACAAATAACCTGGAAAAAATGTAGACCATGAGAAAAATAGCTGTATTAGCAATGGCTTTAAGTGACTGACGTGAGAAATGCCATTTGAAAAAACTACACAATGCACTGGAAGGCTTGTCCGTGTTTACAGTGACCTCCTGTCTGTCATTTTGTAAGACCCTCCCCAGTGCCCCATGACTCCGCCCCTATCTCCATCTGTCCAGCTTAGGAAAATCACAGCAGAATCCGGTTAGCGACCTTTGGCACCAGATTCCAGTACTGTGAGGACAAAAGAGACACGGGAGTTCCATGCCTGTTCTGGCCAAGTGCTGCTGCTATACGAAGACGTATTTGGAGAGTACTTGGGTAGCATGATTAGACAAGTCTCTCTGAATAAGTCCAATGTAATGATATGCCATCATAATTTATCAAGTAGAACAAAACAATACGTTGCTAGGGAAAAGCAGTGTTGGAGCCCTCCCTTGAAGCTTATATCACTTAGGTCGGTTTCTGAAAGTAATCAAGCCACCGTGAGTTGAATTTGTCAATAGCCCTCATTATTTCATTATTATTAATATCTTGTGAATTTGAATTAGCTATGAAAAGGACACGCTCAGTGGGTTCTATTGAGTTGTGGGCAATGTTGAGTATTTTATCTCCTTTCAAAAAACATTAATCTAATGCCATATTTTCATCATCTATTTCTAAATAATGATAGTTCCACTTCATAAACAGCCTGTATCATTCTATGGGCGTGCTTTGTGTTGATCCGGTCATTCCAGTGTTGTGGCAGTTCATATATTTAGAGGTCGAGTATCTTGAATCTTGACTAATGCACTGTTAAATGCATACCTTAACATGGTCTATTCAGTAATTATTAACTATCATCACTTTTTTAGTACTTATTAGCTCACAATAAAGTGTTTGGATGCAGAAGAAGAAGTGCAAAAGAAATATATTCTTCAAATTTAATTTGAAAGCAACATTTCCATCACAGTCTCACAAACCCCCTGCAATGCCACCACAGACCCCTGGTTGGGAAACTCTGCTATTAAAATGCAATGATTTACTCTATATCTGCCACGAACGTCTTTACTGTAAGAAAGGCGAAACTATAATGCAAATTACAAATTATCATTTAATTGTCTAACTAATAAAAATTAGCTGTTTGTAAAATAAGTGTTTTACTTTGATTAGTATACAGAATTAAATGACCCTACAAACTGTCAGTTCAGCTCCTTTTCCCATTCAGCAACTCTACTGTCATATTCTCAGCATCAACTTTTGATGCACCTTTAAATAGCCAATCCTGGTATCTTGGTTGCAGTCTGGCAACAATGGGAGTTTTTGTTCTCTCTGCACGGAAGATCTCTCCTGAGAGTTAAACATCTCTTGAGGGTTCACTTGACTGGAGACAAGCAGTCTAGGTAATGCAGCTAGATTTGGAATGGATGAGGCCTTTAAGGTTAACTGCCTTGCTCAAGGACATAAGGACAGCAGCTATGTAATATGGATATGTTATCAGCCAGGATCAATAACGTGTTCTGTTACTGGCACATGAGTCATGCTGGCTAAGTGCCTCAGCTTAAAGCATTGAATGCAAATGTCTGTAATAGCACTGAACATACCCTCTATGAGCTCCACCTTCTGTTTAATCAGTAGCTGATCAATCTGTGTTGCATTAGCAGATGAAAAAAAAAGACAGAAAAAAAATCAAGTTTCTCTCATAAACCCATTTCATTACACAAAATGAAAGTGTCAGTATTAATTAAACTATGTTTAATAGACAACATTAGTAAAAAATAAGTCAACCAAATCTATTCCACCATGACCATATGCAGGGAATCATCTCACCTGTGTTAGGTATTCTAGCCCAGGTGGACATCCTGGCATGCCAGGATTAGGCATCATGTACATATGTGCCATACCTTTCTGCTGGGAAAGAAGTAGGTCAGATTAAAACAAGGAAGGACCAGTTATGGAGCTTTAGCGCCACCTGCTGGTTCAGAAGTAGAACAATGATTAAAAAAGCCAGTGAATGTCTCATCACGCCTGCTTTTAAAGTAAATCTCTGCATATCAGAACTTGTATGTCGTCACTCTCCAAAGAAAATCAAGTATCTCCAAAATAGTAATTTTAAAGGAGAAGGCAAAAACACTTACCTTTCAAAGTAAGTTAATGTAAAGAGATAAGTGATTTTAGAGCATTGGTATTGGTCCATTCATCATGAAAATGACCAATGACACACACACATACATACATACATACATACATACACACACACACACACACGCACGCACACATACACACATACATACACACACACACACACACACACACACATTATATACGTACATATATGAATATACAGTGTAGCACTGATTCACAGAGGATAACATGGATAGCATGATGACAGATGGAGATCCTGAAAGCTCCTGTAGAAACGCTAATGACCCAGATATATAAGGGTATTAATGCTTCCGCGCTTGCAAAGCCACGTACTTCTCATTTCATCCGTATCAAATCCCAGAATCAACCCGTCAAACCCAGAGTATCTCACCGTTCACTGCAGGCTCCCAAAGCTGAGCGCAACACGACGGCCCGTCCAGAACAGCGGTGGGCTGCCCGCTCAGCCTCAACCCACAACCGACATGTTCTCCACGACAAATCACCTGGAAAACAACAACAGTCGAGCAGCTTCATCAGCCATGACGGCTTCACAGCGAAACAACTTCTCTCTTACAGAAACACGAGCAGGTTTAGAGCAATAAACAACACCCCCTCCCACTTCTACCTTATTATGAGGAAAATAACGGCATGTCTCAAGTCTCCCGGACCCATATAAAACAGCGCGTGTGATTGGCTAACGGGGTTATTCTCGCCATCTGGGAGAGCCAGTCAGCGCTCAGAGACGAGCTCGGCTACGGAAGCCTCTACAAGGACGCGTGTGCGCGCCGGGGCAGTTGGGGTCTATTTGAAGGTAGATATTTAAAGCGGCTTTCTCCACTCGCCCACCCTCCTCCTCCTCCCTCCTCCTCCTCCAGGGACAATCCTGTTACATTTGGTGTTTTAAAACCATGCAGCGCTCACTGGTTTAAATGATGAGTTTGGAAAGATAATATTGGGTTAACTTTAAACATTTAATAGTTTTTATCGCAGATCCTTTTTTCCTGTGCCTCTGTTAACCTCAACGTCTTAAAATCCGAATCTTGGTTATTCTTGCGTTAATCTGTAATCTACGTTTTACAGAATTTATCATTTCTGCATTATAGTCATTAAAGACTTTCTATAGTCTTTTCATTTTTCAAAGGAAGTGCTAAAAATATCATATTTAAAAATCAGATTGAGGCCTCTATCAATTATGCCTTAATGATTCCACTTTAAATTGATTGTAATTAAGACAAATTAAATATAATATTATAGAAACACTTGAAGCACAAATTCTAAGTAATTAAATCATTTTAATTTGTATTAAATTATAGAATTATATGCACATTTATAATAATAATAATAATAATAACAATAATAATAATAATAATTATTATTATTATTTTTATTATTATTATTATTATTATTATTATTATTATTGTTATTATTATTAGCAGTAGCAGTAGTAGTAGTAGTAAACAATTTTGGACCAAACACATTTTTTTCCATTTTTTCACTTCAACCCTCCAAATTAAGTAAACAGAAGGCATTTTATATATATATATATATATATATATATATATATATATATATATATATATATATATATATATATATATATATATATAATTTCAAAAGCCAGTGTTTGTATAGGGGTGTTTCAATGGGTGACTTGCAAATCTGTGAAATCCCTGCTATCTTTATCACTCTGACCCCTCTCCCCCCTCAAAATAAAAGGAATATAATAATCAAATGGTCCAAATATTAAGATTATGCTTCATCCTTGTAAAAAGGTATAGATTGTCCTCTGTGAGGAAATTTACATTACTTTAATTTAAGAATATTGTGCCGTCTGCCTCTTGCCAACATCCATGCTTCAGAAGGGCCTTTGAGATGTGATATGTGATAAGCTATGCTGCACATAAAAGAACATTTGTTGTTGCTGTTGTTGTTCATGTAGTCAGCGTTGGTTTAAAATGTGTGTGTGTTGACTGTGGTTTATTGTATTGGGCTGAGGGTTAGTTAGTGTGGGTTTCTGTGTCTACCACAGATAATGGCATCCTCTGTTTGTTTTTTGTTTTTTTTCCACCGCTGACACTACAACATATTTATTTGGCTTCTGCGTTCCTGAGGTCTGTGTATTTTTTTCATGGTGCTTGGAGGCTGATGATTATGAAGACAGTCAAACTCAAATACTGACTGGATATTTTAGCACAGAGTGATCTAGGTGCTCAACATCAACAAGCACCATCTCAACCACTTCTTGGTAGGTAATCTACAGGTTTATTCTGTGTGTGAAATACCCCCTGGTATTTAGAGGGGTCTCACTAGCTACTCTAGTGTTGGCTAAGTCACTCGCCAAAGCGGTGTTAATGCTAGCTTCAATGGCAATATAATATTTAGTTTAACCATTTTTCTTTTGAACATACTCATTTCTAATTTGGTAATGCCATCTGACACACATTAATTGAGATCTTACACATCTCTTTTGTCTTCAGTTTGAGAAAAAAGTAACAAATCACTCTTTCCACCTGTCTCTTGAGTTTTCAGATTAGCGTAGCATGTATAAATGTGTGAGTTCAGACCCTGCCTTCAACATGTGGTGGTAGTATGAGGGAAGACTGGTTCTGGGTGGCTCCTGCGTGTGGTTAGAAGGCTGGACCCCCCTCATAGCTGTGGTGGGACTGACATAGGTCTGAGGAATAGGGAGGAGATGGGGTGGCGGTGGGGACTGGGAACACTTTGTCACAGAAACGGAAGGTGAGGATGTGAATTTATAGGGTGTTAGATTGGAAAAGGGAAGGGTTTCAGGCATGTTCCTTACCCCTAACATTATGTGATGGCATATGGTTGTTTTTCCAGAGATATCTGAGCATAGTTACAGTTGCTGGGCTATGAAGGATCAACTGGGTGAACCAGTCTGCTACAGCGCCACCCTGAGGCCGACCAGTGCTGCATCTTCAGTTAATTAAGAATATCAAAGACAGAAATTTGCTGAACAATGATTTTTCCCTTAGTTTGTACTAGAATGTCTGTTTATCTCCTAACGGACAGCATAAGATCATTAAAAGTTTATTTTTTAGGGACCCCCCCAGAATTTTGATTCAGACATTCAGGGGGTCCAAGAGGTTAATTAGAGGGTCCCGGACCCTCCTGTATTTTGCACCTTGGGCTTAATCTTGTTTAGTGATAAAACTAACTAGAGGCTAAAACAGGATCAGCCAGAAAGCCACCTGACTGTAATATGCTTAGCTTAGCGAACAGCAATCGACATTAGTTAACATTTGCTAGCTAGAAGGCTAATTATCTCCAAATGAGCTAACTGGATAAGCAGACATGTATCAGTGGACCTATGAGGTTTAGCTAAATCCCTGTTTAAAATGATGCAATGCTGACTTGCTGGAAAATCACTGCATTGTCAGTGTGACACTGAAGTGGAAAAACTTCTCTAAACCTCTCAGAGTAGCAATCCAGCTGTTTCATGTCTCTATGTGTGCAGAAAGTTCAGCACTTAGGAGTAATCAGCTTTTACATGGACTACTCTAATCAACAGTATTTAAGATGGAGAGTGTCTGTAGACCAGTGGGGTTTGTTTGAATGTTTTCATACTTGTAGTCAGGCATTTTTAGCCCTCAGCTCTGTTGTTAATGCTGTAAACTAATAGGTCTTGTCAGTAATGAGATACAGTGCGTTTGCACCACATAACCCTTTCCTTTGCTTTCAGTTTGATTGTGCTACCTTGCAGATGGCTGTCACTGAAAAATCCTTGTCTTGTTTGATCTCAGCTTAAAGACAGAGGCTTGTAGACTGCATTGACATGCAGCAAACGAGACTGGCACTCTTCCATGTTCATATTATGAATGAATAAATAATGCATGGTGTTGAAGGTAACTGAACATATACAGGCTAATTAGTGAAGATAAGGTCATAATTAGTTAAGTGACCCACACAGAGTAGCACACAGGCTGCTCATGTGTATGGACACACTGCACTGCATAAGCAAACAGTGTGTAGCAGATAGTTCAGCATGATGACTGCCAGCTTTCTTAGGGTGTTATCTGGCTAGAGGGGGTGGGGTCATCTATATTGGTAGCTCAGTGAATTAGGTTTAAACGAGTGCACCTGAGGGTGACTAGCTAGGTTTTATAAACCCTAATGTGTGCAGGCTCCTCAGGCTAAGCTTGGCCAAACAGCAGCACTGGTCAAGCTTAGCCCAGAAAGAAAAGGTTTGTATAAAAAAGATTGTGAACCAGATTCAGTAAAAATGAGCTGTGTGTGAAGGAGAAAAGTGCATGTGTGAGAAAAGAAGCTCTGAGTGAAACAGAAGCAATGTGTGCACAAAGAACATGACACACCCAGTGTTTGTTTGTTTGATGAGAAAATGAAACAAAATTAGCCTCTTTGAAGACAAAACCTGCAGCAGATTAGCTTCAAGTGAAAAATACCTGGCCAGCAGTCAGCACTCTGTCCTTTTTCCCCCAAAAATGCCTGTATTAGAAGGTGGGGACAGCATGCTAACACGTGGAACATGTTTGTAGAGCTGATGCTGTAGCTACCTCTCTGTTTACAATGATAGGGTACTGGCTGTGATTGCCTGAAAATGCACTGTCTGTGCATTTTATTACTGTGAAGCACACAGTCGATCATTCTGAACCCTCTTTCCAAAATCCCCAGTAATCACACTAACATTATTTTAATATAGAATATTTTTTCTTAAGAATACTTTTTTCTTAGGATTTGTGTCTGTGAGGCCTTTCTTGGTCCTTTGTGGTCTTCCTTGTGTGGTGTTTCTTGGCAAAAATTAAGAACACAATCAAGCTTTAAAAAAAACTGGTGAGCTGGTTGTTTGACCGCAATTATGTAATGTTAGGACATCAAGGACAACCATCGCCTCTTCTTGGTAGGTTAGCTGCTGGCTTATTTTGGTTTGATGATTGAGCTAGCTAAAGAGAATGAACCAGGAACAACCAGACAGCCACTGGACTGTCATGTCTAGCTAAGCCTAGCTAGCAGCAGCAAACATTAACATCTGGCTAGTTATCTCAAAATGAGCTAATATTGGACATGTAGACATGAGTGAGTGGACCAATGAGACTTGGCTAACTCTCTGTTTTTAAAATGACGCAATGCTGGCTGTGATTGCCTTAAAATAGCTTCATTATCAAGGTGACATTGAAGTGGAAAAGTTTCCCTAGACATGCTCAGAGTAGCAACCCAGCTGTTCCATATCTTTATACATGCTTATAGTGTAGATCTTAAGTGCAATAAGCTGCTAAAAGTGCTATTCCAAATGGCAGTGTATAAGCCAGAGTATCAGCTTGAATGTTCTTCAGCTTGGACAGATTTTAAAAAGTTTTGCCTTGATTCCATTATGCAGTTTATAAAGTTTAAGCTTTATTTGGAGACCAAAACAGCCAAAGAGCAATGCCAGCTGTGCAGTAGGGCAGGCAAGGAATTCCCATGTGTTGCTTTTATGATGTACTGTTTGAGATTTGGAATGAAAATGTGGTGAACTAAAGTGAAAATGTGAAATTTATGCTAAAGAGTTTGGAGCAAATACGGCTGCCAGATACATTGAGAATCACTCATTGTTAGACTTCTGATCTTTAAGAACTTGCGCGCTTGTGATTATGTGGTGGGTAAGAAGAAGACACATGTGGGTTTGGCATTGACCAAGCACTCTGTAAAAAGTATGGTGGCCATCTTGAATGCTATGTCTGCTAGCAGTAAACATGAGCTTCCAAGTTCCATATCAT